AAATACAACAACAACAATGGCAATAATACAAAGTACGACAAGTAAATCAACTCAAGAACTTTTAAATCACAGGAAAATGTGAGACCAAATCACAAGGAATAACCACAGTCTGAAATGCTAGGCGTAAAGTAAACAACTCAACAAAGGAAAAACTAAGGTGTAGCAACGAATCCCACAATATACACTTCAATAACAGGGAAGCTAACACGAATCCAATAATGCCAAATAAAACAAGTCGACTAAGATATAAGATATCTACTTCTTTTAAGGTTGAGGAAATTACGAAGGATATTCAACAATTCAAGTAAGGATAACAGCGGAAAAATAATCATAACCTCAATTAAGACTGAATAATTATAGGATAAAATAATATAAATTCCAAATAAAGATAAGCAGTTATGAAAAGATAGCATGGCTATAAAAGAGATAACAGTTTCAATTAAGGCGCATATGGATCAAGTAACGATAATAGTGGATCATGAAGCAATTTATTCTAATTAAGCAGGTAGATGTGAATCTAGTAATTTAGATATATAATCATAACAAGAACAGCTGCATATTCAATGAATACAAAGACCTAAGAAACCTAAAATGCCACTTTCCACAAATAAGTCTATGCACGCACTCGTCACCTCGTGTACACGGACTTCAATCAATATAGAAGACTCGAATCCTAAGGGGAAGTCCCCCACACAAGGTTAGGCAAGATACTTACCTCGAACCAAGCTCAAACAATCGGTCATAATGCCTTCCCACGAATATCCGGCTCCGAATGGCCCAAATCTAGCCAAACACAATTGCATAATATGAATACAACAATAATAGACTTATCTAATTAATGAAATCAATATTTGAATAAAATTTCCGAAATTCGCCCTAAAAAGTCGACCCGGGCCCACGTCTCGAAATCGGGTAAAAATTACAAAATATGAACACTCATTCACTCACGAGTCCAACCATATAAGAATTACTCAAATTAGACCACAAATCCTCTTTCAAAACGCGAAATCTTTATTGAAGAAGTTCTCCCAATTTTTTTCAATTTCAACCCCAAAATCCGAAACTAAATGGAGAAAACAACTATAGATTAATGGAATACAACCAAAAACGAGTTTGGAATCATTACCTCAAAGCTTCCTCTGAAATCCCTCGAAATATCGCCAAATTCTGAGCTCTCAAATGCAAAAACGAAGAATGAAACCAAACCCTCGAATTTCTCTTTTCTGCCCAGGCGTGACCGCACCTGCGACATAATTAGCTGTATCTGCGCGACCGCAGGTGTGCACGTCCAAACCGCACTTGCGCTTCCTCTCTCTTCTGTGCGCCAAAATCCGCTTCTGTGGAGCCGCTAATGCGCACAAATTCTCCGCACCTGCGGAGACTGTCAAGTCCAGCTCTTCTCGCACCTGCGCCTCAACCTTCGTATTTGTGGGCATCGCAAATGCGAAATTTTTCTCGCACCTGCGACCCCTGGCACTCCTCCACTTTTTCCGCTTCTACGCTTGCCTCTCCGCACGTGCGCTTCCGCACCTGCGGTCTCTTCACCGCAGGTGCGAAAATACCAGAAGTCTAAAGACTTAGTAGTAACACAAATCAAACTTTTAATCCGTTAAGCACCCGAAACTCACCCAAGGCCCCCCCGGACCTCAACTAAACATACTAACCAATCCTAAAATACCATACGAACTTAGTCGAGCCCCCAAATCACATCAATTAACGTAGAAACTACGCATCATACCATGAATCGAACTTAAAATATTTTAAATCTTTTAACTTGTAAAACCCGTGCCGAAACCTATCAAATCAACCCGGAATGACGTCAAATTTTGTAGGCAAGTCTCAAATAACATAACGGAGTTGTTCCAACTCTCGAAATTTCATTCGGACCCCGATATCAAAACGTCCACTTCCGGTCCAAATCTCCAAAAATTCGACTTTCGCCATTTCAAGCCTAAATCAGCTACAGACCTCGGATTTACAGTCCGGACACGCTCCTAATTGCAAAATTACCCAATGGAGCTAATGGAACCGACGAAACTCCATTCCGGAGTCGTCTTCACATAGTTCCGACTACCGTCAAAATCCTAAAACTTAAGCTTCCGTTTTAGGGACTAAGTGTCCCAAATCACTCCAAAACATCCGGTAACCGAATTTAACCATGCACGCAAGTCAATACACATAATATGAAGCTGCTCAGGGCCTTATGCCGCCGAACGAGACTTAAATTCTCAAAACGACCGACAGAGTCGTTACATTTACATTGTGGGGTCGGGTTGCACGTCGTGACGGAATTTATTTGAAAGATTATATTGTGAGATCGGGTTGCACGCCGCAATGGAATTAATTAAAAGTTTACATTGTGAGATCGGGTTACACGCAATAATAGAATTTATTTAAAGTTTATACTGAAGGATCGAGTTGTACGCCGCAATGAAATTTAATTGAAGGATTATATTGTGGGAATAGGTTGCACACCGCAATATAATGATAAAAGAAATAATTGATTGTTGATATGACTACCTGTCTTACCTCTGTGAGCACCTAATGTTTGCCCTAATATAAATTACTCCTAAAAAATCTAAAAAATAGCTTTAAATTATTTTTCTATATTTTTTGCTTAGTTAGCTTTGTACGTATTCATGTTTGATGCATTTTTAAGTTGCATTTTAAATCCTAAAGAAAATATAATTTTTTTTTGAATTCTTACATTTTTAGATTTTAATTGCATAATTAATTGCATTTGTAAAACACTAAAATACCAAAAAATACATTAGTAACTCTACATGCATTTGTTAGCTAAATGAATTAGTTAATTGTAGAAAAATAGGTCATTAGGTTAATTTTGCAAATTTGTTGGAATCAGGAATGTTAAATAAATTGATTAGTCTTGCAAAATACAAAGAAAGAAAAGAGTAGGCTACTGGGTCTTTAATGTCGTTTGGACCATTTAATTTGAGGCCCAAAATCCAAATCTGTCCGCCCCAGCCCACTATCCAATACCCGGTCCAAATCCTTAACCACTGAGACCATGAAACGACGTAGTATCACCCAAATACTACGTCGTTTTCCCTTCCCATTTTCATTAAAACCTTCCCTTCCCCTTAACCCTAGTGGATCGGATGCCCTCCGCCATTTTCCTAACCCTAGCGTCGCCCAAGACCCCTCCTCTAGCAGAGAGAACAGATGGACACCTCTCCTTCTAGACCAAACCTAGCCGCCACCCCCCACTCTCTCGTCCTCACCTCCTACACTCACCTCATCTCACTCACACACAGTTAGAAGCGCAGATTAGTAGCTAGGAATTCTGGAAATACAAATTTCCCGGATCTGAAACAAATACTCCAAAAATAAAAGCAAAAAATTAAAACAAAGAGATTTCAAAAGCTGTTTCCTCCTCTATTTGTTGCGGCACATTTTCTGTGATTTGAAAGATTGTTTTGAGCTTGGAAGTGCTAATCACTGCTGACTGTTGCTAGATCAGCCTTGCTGAGCTTCATCCTTACGGATTCTAGCCTTTATTTGGCTTTTCAAAATCTGTCTCCATTATGCCGATAGGTATGTGATTGCTCACCTGAACTTTTTCCTTTGAATGTATAAATAATGATCGAATTGCCCATTGTATCCATGTCTAATTTCACATGTTCATTATGCTTTATTGCCAGATTTGTCTACATGTGAGTGTTCTGTTATAATCTAATTCTAAACTGACTGTTTGAAGCTGAAACTCTAAGGTGAAATCGTCCAAATGCTTTAATGCCATGTCACAGATTCAGCTTGTATACATACTTACTGCCGTCCATGCACTGATTTAATTTTTGATGAGTTTGAATTCCAGTTCATACCATTTCTGATATTGAAATTAATTGAGATTATAGCATAACCATTAGAGAATTAATTGATCCAATGAAACTCTGGAGTTAACTCAAGTGTTTGATTTTATAGTCGGGATCTCGTTCTGTTTCACATGGCACGTCTTATTGATTCAATGATAACAGTCTTCTATTGGTGGTTGCAAATTAAGAAATCAGTGTAGAAGGTCAGGAAGATTGGTGGGTCATCACTGTTTAGGTAGTTAGTCTCATTAGTTAGAGACTCGTGGTCAATTTTAGATAATATCTATAGACATACATGTAATTCATTCCACATTTGGTTGTATATTTGTTAATTTTGATTTGATGCAATTGGTTATTGATTTGAGAGTGTTTGAACACAAACAAGTTCAGATTTGAGAGGCTCAGCACATCTAAAATTTGTGAGCTGCACTTGGTCTACTTGAGATCTCATGTGCTTCCTTAGACAAACACAACCCATAATTGTATTAGCTTCCCCTAACCAACATTAATTTGGAAAGAAACATTCAATCACATTTGACAAATCTTTACTGTTTGTTCAACGTGAATTCATTCCTGGGAATCAAGGCTTTTGTTCCAACTTACTACTTCGTTTAATTTTCCCATTATTCACGTAGTCTTAAGCACTTTGAATGTTCGTGCCATTGCGACGTCCACATGAAATCCCAAATGTTTAAGCAAACTAATTAGTTAGTTCATGAATATGCGTAGAATGCTTTAAGCGCATTTTAATCTATTATCGTGATTATGTACATGTTCGCGTGACATAATTATGTTCTTTCACTAATAAATTAAAGTACGCGTTCGCGCGACTTTGGCAAAACAATTTTAAATTAATAAAGCGTGACTAATTATGTACACGTTCGCGTGACATGATTTTAGCGCCCCAAATAAAGTGGATTTACACACATGTGATCCGTTTCGAAGATAAATCCATAATTCAATAATTAAAAGCGGTAAAAAAGTAAATGTACATAGGTTCTAAAATAAGTAATTAAATAAATAAATTAAGCCGGGTATGAATAAAGCGACCGTGCTAAAACCACGGAATCCGGGAATGCCTAACACCTTCTCCCGGGTTAATAGAATTCCTTACCCGGTCTTCTGGTTTTCGCAGACTTTAAATAGAGTCAAAATTTTCTCGATTTGGGATTTAAAATAAACCAGTGTCTTAGGACACCATAAATATTCCAAGTGGCGACTCTGTAAATAAATAAATAATCTCATTTCGATTAATGTCACTTAAATTGGAAAACTCTCTTATCCCCTATCCCCCATTCGAGAAAAAGGAGGTGTGACAATCTCTATTCCTATAACAATAATAATAATAATTATTATTATTGTATAAATGGTAATGTAAGTGACATGCCTTAGCCTCGTTATTATTTTGTCGAAGTTAGGCTCGGCACTTACAGAGTTCATGGGGTCGGTTGTACTCATACTATACTCTGCATTACTTGTGCAGTTACGGAGTTAGTCCCAGCAGCGTATTGTACACTTGAGGTATAGCTGCACAGTGTTTGCAACTCTGAAGTCCATTTTCACTTTATCTTAGTTGTGTGCTTTCTTTCAGACAACTTTATTTTTATTCAGACTCTTATTTGTATTATTCTAGAAGTTTGTGCACTTGTGACACCAGTTTTGGGTTGGTATTTTTATATCGTTATTACTTTGGTTTGTTCACTTTAATTCAGACTTCATTCCAGTTGTTTGGTTTCTTTATTATTAATTAAAATGAAATGTTAAAAATGGTTTAAATTATTGTAACGTTAGCTTGCCCAGCAAGTGAAATGTTAGGCGCCATCACCATCCCAAATGTGAGAATTTCGAGTCGTGACAAGTCGGTATCAGAGCACTAGGTTACCTAAGTCTCACGAGTCACAAACAAGCTTAGTAGAGTCTAAATGATCACTACGGAGACGTTTGTACTTATCTCTCAGAGGCTATGGAGTTTAGGAATAATTTCACTTCTATTCTTATATGTCGTGCGATTTTATTCTATCATTGATGATTGAACTCTTCTATTCTTATTCTCCCGCAAATAGCGAGAACACGCACTACACCTACAGTTGGACAGGAGCTGGAGGCCCCAGTGACAGCTGCAACTAGCGGCATATGCCGAGGCCGAGGTCGCGCCAGAAGCAAATCCCAGGAGTAATTATGGTAGAGGTCATCCTCCCAGGCCATTTTATTCAGCATTTCAGACATCTCACGGTGCTTCAGGGATTCATGGTCCTTAGATGCTCTGGGCAACCAACATTTAGTGCATATTAAGCTCATATCAGTGTACTACCACTACAGCAGTTATCCGGCCCGTTCGGGTCAGCTTCAACTTTAGCAGCCACTGCATCAAGATATGTGCTATGAGTATGGGAACCTTGGTCATATCAGTAGGCATTTCCCTAGGTTGTCGAGCAGTAGATCTTAGCAGGATTCTCGTGCCATCATACCAACACCGATTGCTCCACCGCCCGCCCGCCAGCTAGGGATAAATGTCAGGTAGTTAGAGGTGGAGGTCAGACTGTTAGAGGTGGAGGTCAGCCATCTAGGGCCTATCCCAGAGATGTAGTTTAGAGTGGTGGGTCTTAGCCATAATTTTATGCTTTTCCAACTAGTCCTGAGGCCGAGTCATCTGATGCCGTGATCACAAGTATTGTTCCAATTTTCCATAGAGATGCTTAAGTTCTATTTGATCCAGGATCTACTTATTCCTATGTGTCCTCCTTCTTTGCTTCATATTTGGTTATGCCTCATGATCCTCTGAGTGCTTTTGTGCACGTGTCCACGCCGGTGAGAGATTCTATGGTTGTAAGTCATGTCTGTCATTCGTGTGTGGTTACTATGGGAAGTCTTGAAACTAGCGCAGATCTTCTACTTCTCGATATGGTAGATTTTGATGTTATCTTGGGGAAGGATTGGTTGTCACCTTATCACGTTATATTGGATTGTCATGCCAAGAAGGTAACCTTAGTCATGTCGGGGTTCCCTCGAATAGAGTGGAAAGGGACTTCTGGCAATTCCACCAGCAAGGTTATCTCTTATGTGAAAGCTCGGCGTATGGTCTAGAAGGGCTGTCTAGCTTATTTGGCTTATATTCGCAATCCCAGTGTGGATTTTCCTTCTATATATTCGGTCCCAGTTGTCCGTGAGTTTCCAGATGTATTTCCTACAGATTTGCCGGGGATGCCACCCGAAACAGACATTAACTTTTGTATTGATTTGACTCTGGGTACCCAGCCCATTTCTATTCCACCATAACGTATGGCCTCGCCGGAGCTAAAGAAATTGAAGGAGCAGTTACAAGACTTGCTTGACTAGGGATTCATTAGGCCTAGCGTCTCACCTTGGGTGCATTAGTGTTATTTGTAAATAAAAATGATGGTTCAATGCGGACGTGTATAGATTATCGACAGCTGAACAAGGCTACTATCAAGAACAAGTATCCGTTAATAAGTGTGGATGTTCCTTATATATATTCGGTCCCAGTTGTCCTTGAGTTTCCAGATGTATTTCCTACAGATTTGCCGTGGATGCCACCCGAAAGATACATTGACTTCTGTATTGATTTGACTTCGGGCACCCAGCCCATTTCTATTCCACTATACCGTATGGCCCCGCCGGAGCTAAAGGAATTGAAGGAGCAGTTACATGGCTTGCTTGACCAGGGATTCATTAGACCTAGTGTCTCACCCTGGGGTGCATCAGTGTTATTTGTAAAGAAGAAAGATGGTTCAATGCGGATGTGTATAGATTATCGGCAGTTGAACAAGGCTACTATCAAGAACAAGTATCCGTTACCAAGAATTGATGACTTATTCGACCAGCTTCAGGATGCCAAGGTTTTTTCGAAGATTGATTTGAGGTCTGGTTGCGATCAGTTGAAGATTAGGGTATCCGATGTCCCTAAGCCACCTTTTAGACTCTGTATGGGCATTACGAATTCCTAGTGATGTCCTTTGGGCTGGCAAATGCCACAACAACATTTATGGATTTTATGAACCAAGTGTTCAATCCCTATTTGGATTCTTTTGTGGTTGTATTCATTGATGATATTTTAATTTACTCCAGTAGTTAAGAGGAGCATGAGCAGCATCTTCAGATTATGCTTCAGACTTTGAAGAATAATCAGTTATATGCCAAATTTTCAAAATAAGAATTTTGGTTAGACTCAGTTGCTGTTTTGGGGCATGTTGTATCGGCAGAAGGCATAAAAGTGGATCCTAAGAAGGTTCAGGCAGTTTAGAATTGGCCTAGACCTACTTCAGCTATAGAGATCCGGAGTTTCCTAGGTTTGGCAGGTTATTACCGCCGGTTTGTGGAGGGGTTTTCATCCATAACATCCCATTAACCAAATTGACCCTGAAGGGTGCCCTATTCAGATGGTCATAGGAGTGTGAGTTGAGCTTTCAGAAGCTCAAGACTGCTTTGACTACAACGCCAGTGTTGGTATTGCCCACATGTTCAGGATCTTATACGGTGTATTGTGATGCATCTCGCGTTGGGCTCGGTGTAGTATTAATGCAAGATGGCAGGGTGATTTCTTATGCGTCACAGTAGTTAAAAGTTCATGAGAAGAATTCCCTTGTTCATGACTTAAAATTGGCAGCCATTGTTCATGCGCTGAAGATTTGGAGGCATTACCTTTACGGTGTCTCGTGTGAGGTATTCACTGATCATCGTGATCTAAAGTATTTGTTCAAATAAAAAGATCTTAATTTGACGCAGATGAGATGGTTGGAGCTGTTGAAAGACTATGATATCACCATTTTGTATCACCTTGGGAAGGCAAATGTGGTGGCTGATGCTTTGAGTAGAAAGGCTGTGAGTATGGGCAGCCTTACATATATTCCGGTTAGTGAGAGTCCATTAGCTGCAGATGTTCAGACTTTGGCCAATCAGTTCGTGAGGTTAGATGTTTAGAGTACAGTCGGGTCCTAGCTTGCACAGTCGCTCGGTCTTCTTTGTATAAGTGTATCAGAGAGAGACAATATGATGATTCTCATTTGCTTGTCCTTAAGGACACTGTGCAGCACGGTAGTGCCAAGCAAGTTGCTATGGGGGAGGATGGAGTTCTATGGATGCAAGGTCGTATTTGTGTGCCTAATGTGGATGGGCTTCGAGAATTAATTCTTGAGGTGGCCCACAGTTCCCGGTATTCTATTCATCCGGGTGTTGCCAAAATGTATCAAGATTTGCGGAAACATTATTGGTGGAGGAGAATGAAGAAGGATATAGTTGGATATGTAGCTCGGTGTCTAAATTGTCAGTAAGTTAAGTACGAGCATCAGAGACCTGGTGGTTTGCTTCAGAAGTTAGAAACTCCTGAGTAGAAGTGGGATCATATCACTATGGATTTTGTTGTTGGGCTCCCACAGACCAGGTCAACACATTTCATTCCAGTAGCAGTTACCTATTCTTCAGAGCGGTTAGCGGAGATTTACATCTGCGAGATTGTCCGCCTTCACGGTGTGCCCATGTCTATCATTTCTGATCGAGGTATGCGGTTCACCTCACACTTCTGGAGGGTTGTACAACGTGAGTT